CAAGGCCTGGTCTGGAGTTGTGTGGAGTGGAAGAATGTGACTACCTCAGTGTACTCCCAACATTTGCTGATTTTGGTTAAGTCACCCCTTACTTTGCTTTTGCTTTGCATACAGTTTAAAGGAGTTGGCTGGTAGGTGTTTATGCAGGTAGAGTTTGTATATAATGAATTAAGAATGTTTCCAGAAGGCAGATTGAGATTTGTGTATGTGAATACTCCTACCTAAAACTTGACTCATAATTTCATACAATCATAGAATCATAGAATAGTTAGGGTTGGAAGGGACCTTAAGATCATCTAGTTCCAACCCCCCTGCCATGAGCAGGGACACCACACACTAAACTATGTTGCCCAAGGCTCTGTCCAGCCTGGCCTTGAACACCTCCAGGGTTGGAGCATTCACAACTTCCTTGGGCAACCCATTCCAGTGCCTCAGCACCCTCACTGTGAAGAACTTCTTCCTTAGATCTAACCTAAAGTTCCCGTGATTTAAGCTAGAACATACAATCCCATGGGGTTTGATGTGATCAATCAAAGCAAGCAGAGCTCCATAGATCTTTTTTTAAGCATGTATTTACAATAAACCTTTTACAGTCTATGGCTTAATAGCTGTGTAAATTATTATTTTAAAAATTATTGAAAATGGGCAGTTCAAATGAGTCGTGTAATTTTATCGTTATTGATTCTACTCTAGTTAAAGCTTCAGAAATGTTTAAGTTCAGTATAAATTCGAATACTAACGTTAGAGAAAGTTTTCTTTGTCAGCAAAGCCCAACTTCTGCTGTCTGTCAGCAGATTTTACAGTCGCCATTTAGACTGAAAAGCTTGTTAACACGTTGTTCTTTTCATCTCAGCTAGGTGACTTCTACCTAGAGCTTCACTGGGATTTTCAAAGTTGGGGTAAGCAACTGCATATTCCCTTTACAGGGAGATAATGTAATCAGCCTTCAGCACACGTGTTCTCTCGAGCTGAAATTATCAATTGGTTTGCATGTTGGAAAGCTCACCATTCAATGCTCAAGATCTAAGTTACCAAGAAAGGAAGACAGCTTTTTTGCTGAGCTGTCTTGCCTTACTTCTATTTTTGCTTATTCATTTTTGGAGCTGAATCCTGCTCTGTAATCCAGTGACACAGGGTGGGGAGAACAAGCTGCTGCTTACTTTAAGAAATGGATTATTAGAAAAGCAGAATAGTAAAATGTCCCTATCGATTTGTGGTTGATTTGTGTCACCACAGAGCAGTGGTTTGAACAATTTAATTGAGTAACTGGACTTGAGGCATTTAATTTCCTGAATTTAGCCTGTACTCTGAATGGGGACTGTCAGTTAAATTGAGTTGTGTGGTGGGTTCTTCAAGCCAAAACTTCACCTTAATGCTTCTTTTATGTGACTTTATAACCTTCCACCTCCTCTTACTTGAGTAGGAAAATAGAAATAAATGAGTAAAAATGTAAGGAGAGCTGCAGTCTCATGTGTCCCTCTCGTAACTCTGTCTGGCCTCTCGGTTCCACCGGTGCTTTCGTGTTTGCTTGGTGTTTTAAGCTTAGTGCATTGGATTTTCTTTTCTGCTTGTGGGTGTTCTGCTTCAGCGGCAGCTGGGCTGTCAGTTGGCACAATATATTAAGTAAACTATCAAATCCTAGAATTAAAATTTCAAACTGCTAGAAGACGAGTTATTAGGATTTATAAATGATTTAGCTGTGCCTGAGGACACTTGAAATAATGTCCTGACGCTGAAAGTACCCTGTACAATTACAAGTCAGATTTGCAGTTATTGAATGGAAGTAACCCTGGTATTAGTCAGTTGTGTCTGTATTGAGATTATGATGGAAAATGGGTGTGATATATTTGTATTAAAATTAAAAGAGAGATTCAAACTGATGCATAGTTTTAATAGAAATACGTTGCAGAGGAACCTCAATGTCCTGACTCTGTTCTCTCTGCCTACCTTCAGTGCCTTTACTTTCCCGAATTCTGCCTTCTGATGCATGTAAAATACACAAACAAGGTATAAATATCAGGTAAGTCTGATTTTACAGTGTGTGTTATCTAAGTCATAAATGTCTGTGTGGTGGTGAAAACACTGAATTCCAGTGTGGTGTGAAAGAAGTCACTGAGGAGTGTGCAAATATTGGTGAAACAGCCTGTGTGTGCATGCTGGTGGTTAGAGCCAGGAAGTGGTTTGAACTTCAGACTGTCTCCTTTTTACCTCTGTTGGTCCGAGTTTAACTTCAGTACCTGAGTCACTGAAAACCAAAGGAAGAAAAGCTGTGTAAAGCTTGATCTACTGGACATGACAATGATGAGTTGAAAAACAGGAATTTGATATTTTTAACACAATTTCAAAGAAAGGAGCTTTCAGCATTTTGTGGAGAAATGTTGCTGCTCCTGTCTCTGTTAGTAAGAAAAGGTGGTATCGTTTCTCTTTTCAAAACACTTGGTGTGACAGATTCACAAAGTCACTATAGTGCTTCCAGGAGTTGTCCACACTCAGGTTCTTGTCCTTGGCTCCATCTTCTAGTTTTTCAGGTCAGCAGAAGCATTTCTTCTGTGTTGGTGAGAGGGAAGAACAGAAATAGCGAGTAAAATAAGTCAAATAATAAAAAATCAGTCTGGTTCTTAGTCCTCTTCGTAATTTGGGTCATTCCTGATGTTGTTACTCACATCAGTGCTTGCTGCTTGTAGAACAGGATGCTGATCACATGGAGTAGTTGTGTTTCTCAGTGTGTAGCACGTACTGGCTTCATAAATTCTGTCACTTCCTCATGCTGGCAGTTTGGGAATAAAGTTTTCTGAAGAAAGATGTTACCTTTTCCTCTGAAGCTGGCATAGTAATAGTTTGGAATACATTTATAATGGTAGAGATGTGATAATGTGGAACTTACTGTTAATAGCAATTTGATTTCTGCATCCAGGCTTCACATCTGAAAATGTTCTATTAAAACTTGGGCCTCGGTGTGTTTGGTTATGATTAAAAAAATCAGAATGCTTCTGCTTTAACTGAACTCATGAGTGTATTTGAATGTTTATGGGTCACTGTGTTGGTGTATTTTCACAGGCTGGACACAACTCTCATAGACTTTACTGACATGAAGTGCCAACGAGGGGATTTAAGCTTCATTTTTAATGGTGATGCCGCACCCTCTGAATCTTTTGTAGTTTTAGACAATGAACAAAAAGTTTACCAGCGAATACATCATGAGGTAAAGACCTATGTGAATGTATGGTGTGAAATACCTCAAGCTTTTATTTCATACCAGAAGTCTGCTTAAACAGAATGTGCCTCTCAAAAAGAGCCCGACAAGCTCCGGGGAAATGCAAACCAAAGAGTTATTGTTCAGTTGTTGTAAGTTAGCTCCATACGTGACATGAAAGTCTGGTGTGATAAATAGTGCTTTTGAATGGAAACTTTGAAATGGGGAAAAAGCTGGAATGTGATTCATTTGGAAAAATCTGTTACCATTCTGAGTAGGCAAATCTTTTCTAAGTTATGATGTGTGCTACTTTTAATCTTTTTACTGGGCTCCTCACCATCTTCAGATGGGTTTTCAAACTTGCTTGCCGCTGCTCGGCATCCATTCAGTCACCCTGTGGCCAATTTAGTTGTTAACAGCACAAGGATATGACTCCTTGGACCCCTTGTATTTAGGCAAGGTTTTAGTTTACAGCTTTACCCACCAATCACTTATGTGTATGTATCTTTGCATGTGGAAAGAGGCTGCTGAGCTTCTGGATAAATCACTTGGATGCTTTATTTCATAGAATCCCAGACTGGTTTGTGTTGGAAAGGACCTTAAAGCTCTTCCAGCTCCAACCCCTGCCCCGGGCAGGGACACCTTCCACTAGAGCAGGTTGCTCCAAGCCCCTGTGTCCAACCTGGCCTTGAACACTGCCATTAATATTTAAGATTAAACCAAGGTAACCACTTGGCCTATAAGAGAGTTTGAAAGTTCAGGGAAGGCTAGTTCTGGGAGAAGTTCCAAAGGAAAAGGTTTATTGATTTACTTCTAACTTCTTCTATAAAAAGTACATTAAAAAAGAATAATCATCATTATTAAGTTCTGTTCAGTATTTGGGAATTTGTCTTCTAGGAATCTGAGATGGAAACAGAAGAGGAGGTTGACATTTTGATGAGCAGTGATATTTACTCAGCAACATTATCAACCAAATCCATCACCTTCACGCGTGCCCAGACGGGATGGCTGTTTCGAGAAGACAAAACAGTAAGCAGAGAGAAAACTTCACAGACTGATTACTGGAGACAGACTAGTGCAGGCAGCCTTAAGATGAAAATTACTCCCCTGTAGGAAGATGTGGCTTCTGCAAATTCATTCCAGGGTGTGCAGTGAGGAGCCTGTGCTCTTCTGTGTCAGAGCAGTGTAGGAAGATGAGAGCGTTGTGGATAGTTTCCTTTGGGTGTTCCTTTCTGTGTTATCCATCTGTCTGAGGTGTAAGTTCTCAGCTGTGAAGAAATTGAAATGCCCCCTGTGGTAGCTTCTTTGAGTAGGAAATTATTATCTTGTGACTGTGAAGGGATTTGGTTTCATCTGGATGCGTTCAGGTAGCGCTGTTCCTCACAGGTTATCATCTGAGCTAGTGTTGTAGAACCTTCTTCCTTTTGAATACCAAATCCATATTCTACACCTGTAAATTATCCTTCAGCACAGCTTGCTGGTGAAGGGGATTAAAGTCAGATTTTCCTTGGCCACTCAAATTCTTAAGCAATCCTTTCTGTCTTAAAGTTGTCGTTGGTACAAAATACCTGCTCACGATGGAGTTCATGTGTTTGTGCTCTCCAAACCCTACTGGGCTTGTCCACTGACAGCTCGAGTGGTTGGTTGTGTGAATTACAGCATTTCAGTCCTGAAGTTATCTTATTGCACTGAAGTGCAATTATTTGGATACACAAGCATTTCAATTGTTTAATTTTATCTCTGTGAGTCACTGATGTCCAGTTCCTTTCCTGCAGGAAAGAGTAGGAAACTTTTTGGCAGATTTCTACTTGGTTAATGGACTTGTATTAGAATCAAGGAAAAGAAGAGAACATCTCAGCGAGGAGGATATTCTTCGAAATAAAGCTATCATGGAGAGCCTGAGTAAAGGTGGCAACTTAATGGAGCAAAACTTTGAGGTATAACCATATCATTCTTCACTGTATGTGGATTTGTGCATAGGATCTGCCAACAGGGCTCACACCAGTCATTTGGCAGTATCTATAGATAATACTATATTATAGAAAATGGGTTTATTCTGTTTTGATTGACTTAATTTATAAGTATGATCTACAAGTATAATCATGGTGATACATTAATGAATTATCCTGATTAGTGCACACATTCAGCAATTTCTGTGATTATATTGGCTATTTCAGTCTTAATTTGGCTCTTAGTAAAAAATGATGGGTTTGGCTGTGGCAGATCACTCTAACTTCTTTTAGACCAAATGTTTATGGTTCAGAATGCCTTTCTGCTTTGCTTTCAATCATGTTTTTCTTTAGCTTCATTAAAGTGGAGCTAAGCCTATTATTATCACCATGAAATCAAGAGCTATTCAGAACGAGCCAGACGTCATCTGGGAACGTGCAGTTTAAAAATGATCTGTTTATTTCTGTATTAACTTGTGCTTTGTTACTTGTCATTGACACTTGAATGAACTGATTAACTGATGTATTAAAGGAGCCAACAACTACGTGAAATACAGTTTGAGGCCAAATACCTAAATGGAGACTATGAGGGCGAGAGCAGGAGATAGAAAAGCCCAGTGAAGTATCAGCCACAGTAAAGTATCAGCCACAGACTGGTTAGCCGATATTGCTGTTCTGTGTAGAGTGGAAGAATAGTTGTATCTTTTAAGATGCAAAATTCTAGGAGCGTGTAAGGAAAGATAAAGAGTTAAGACCTGTTTTTTCTGAACAGCCTGTCAGACGGCAGTCCCTTACTCCACCATCGCCCAATACAATTACATGGGAAGAGTACATATCTGCTGAAAATGGAAAGTGAGTATTACTGCTTTCTTGGCACTAACTTCCATAAACACTGTTAGAGTACTGGGTTGGGGTTGTGGGGTTTTGGGTTGGTTTTTCATTATCTGTATTTTATTTATATAGTGTATTTATATTCTGTTTATATTATGCCCCTGGGTTGGGGCAATTCTGAGCACAAACACAGGCAGGGCAGGGAATGGGTTGAGAGCAGGTCTCAATCCTTGGGGGTGTTGGGTGACGAGAAGCTCCCCATGACCCAGCTTCAGTGTGGGCTTGAGCCCAGAACCCGCTGTGTCCTGGCTGCACCCCCAGAGCGTGAGCAGCAGCTCAGGGAGGGGATCCTGCCCCTCTGCTGTGCTCTGGGG